ATGGTGATTTCAAAGTGGATCAAACCAATTTTTGGCTTGATGTAACTTCTGATCCATGGCGAATTAGGGAATGGTCCTTGAAGCGAAATGGTAGAGGAATGATAGGCCTACAATTGTCATGTGTACACTATTTTTGCAAACGATCCACGGATTAGCGGTGTTGACGCAGTTGAAATGTCGCCGACAACACGCTTCGCCGAGTGATGCAATCGCAACGCTTGAGAAATCGATTCATCCACCGTGGCCGACCGACGCAGCGAGTCTTGACGCCTGCTGTCCGCTCACCGCCGCGGCTTTGAAAGGCCAAGCGGGCCACGTGCATGGACGCCCCTGGCGTCGCCGTTAGCGGCCCCGGCCACCCTGTTGCCCACCCTTACCACCGAGTCAGCCCCATTTCACATTTCTCCTTCCTCAAGACGCGCACTTGAGCGGCCAGGAGCACCGCCGAGCAAATTCCACCCAAACCCGAGCACCATTGTCCGATTCCTCTGAATCACAGACTCTTCGTGAGTCTCTCCGTCCCCGACCCCATCGCCACTCCATTTTCGGGCCGTAGCTCTCACCGTGAGCGCTGGCTCCACTGGTCGCCATGACCATGGGCCGATCGAGGCAGCTCGCTCTGGTGGCCGTGCTGCCGAGCTCCTTCCATCCCTTTCTCCCTCTTGCGCTGGATTCAGTGAACCCTTCTCGAACTCTTAGAGTCGGCCATGAGGGCTTTAGACGCCTGGTTTTCACGTGAGAGGCTGCGGTTGCGGCCATCGACACTTCTGGCCAGCGGGCGCTCATAGCTATGACTAAGGCTCTCCTTGGTCCGCTTAGGATGAGGCGAGCACGAGACACCCTTGCCTTTTCGTGGGAGAAGCTCCCGGCGACGAGCTTCGTTACCGCCCCCTTCTCCTCCTCGGCCTTCCTCTGGCCGACGTGGGTCCTCCCCTGTCATTTGTCGCTGGCTGAGGCGGGAGCCCAGTTTCGGCGCGCATTGGCCGGGCTTGGGTCATCATTGCTCTTGTCGTACGTTGCTTGGGCCAAATTTAACCGATAGTCAATGTTAGGTTTTCTTAATTAATTTGTTTGTTTTGTTTTCATAGAATTTTGTGCATGATTCAAAATCTGTATTTCTTAGTATATAGATCCAAATGCCATGGTTCTAATTTTGTTGGGTTTCTGGGTCATGTCTAGTATTTAATAAAAAAATATTATATGAGCACATGTTTTAGAAAAATTGATGAATTAAATAGGAGTTTGAAATGTGTTCTTAGAAGCATGCAAACTTGTTTGAATTTTATCTTGAGTTTCTGTGGTCCAAAAATTATGAAATTTTGTGGGCAGTCTGTTATTGCTTATGTGAAGCTCTGGTAAAAATTTTAGAGCTAGTGCATGTGTAGGTTTTAAGTTATAGAATTTCTTTTATTAATAGGTGGATCTGTGTGAATTTTCATAATTTTCTATAGATCCAGTGAAGGTGAAATTTATGGGTGCTATTCTTATGCTAGAAGGATGCTAGGAAAATGGGAAATCTGTTGCTTGACACTTTTTAATAAGGTTTCCTAATTATGCTAGAAATAGACATGGCATCTGTTATTTTGATACAAGCAAGTTATGTTGGTCCAATGGCTTTGAAATTTTATGGTAGTCTATGCAGCATGAGATAGCTATTGGAATTTTTGTAGATTTTATGAATAGTTTTACTATATATTGCTTAAATCATCTAATTAACTAAATAAATTGGAAAAGGATATTAAATAATTTATTTAGAAGTTAGCACTATACTTTCTGATGTTTCTAAGATATGAAAAACAAGTTGGTAAACTTGGTTTGGTCAAATTAGGCTTTTGCACCATCATTAAATAATTAAGTTAGCAACCTGCTATTCTCGACAGATTCAGGTCTACTGGAATTTGATTTAGTTAACTTCAGAATCATGCTTTGATGTTTACAAGTGAATTGTAGAGAATTTCATAAGCTTTCCAGAATGTCCTCTTGCAAGTCATTTGGAGTTATAGAACTCTGGTTATGATAGAATTAAGTTACTACTTGTTGCATATGAAGCTTTAATTGTTATTTTAAGCATGTCTGTATTTATTCTAAGTTCATGGTACATGTTCTAGGTGTTAGGGCCTTTAACTGAAGATGAGCATCTTTATCTTAGGTTATGCAAGTTAGGTAAGTTGCTCTTGTTATTTAAGTTAAGTTGGATACATGCTTAAAGTGATTTGAATAGAGCTAATTACTCGAGTAAACGAAAGTGTCCAGTTGATGTTTTCAGAACACCCATTGTGATTCATTCATCATGAGCATCATGTCATTCTTATGCATCCATGGTATTTATCTTGTGCATCGACATGCAATAGGTGTACCGGAAGGAGTAACGCTGGAATTCGAGGAATCGAAACAGCAGCAGAGTTTACACCGGAGATTCGTGGAGGAGCAACCTTCAGGGAGAAGTGCTGAGACGAGGTCGCCGTTGAGTGCCCCGACCACCGTCCTCTGCAACTTTGTGAAAAGGCAAGCCTTATATATTAAGCTTCCTATTTTCCGAATCGCAGATTATGATTATTATTACATATATTGTTGCATTAAGTTTAGGTGTTGAATGCAAACACTTGCTGCATTGGTTACCCATTCCTTGTCCAGATATTGATACCCTAAATCCTATGTAGCTCAGCTCGAGTAGTGCTTAGCCCCGCTTAAACGCTGGGTAGAAGTCGGGTGATTGCCACCGCGAGATATAGGAAGATACATGTGGCACGGTTGGTTAGGCATATATGTGCTATCGTGGAAAAGAACCCGCCTTAATTTGAAATGAAGACCCGGACGGAGGCTTTGTCGGGTTTGTAGTG